AGAGGCTCCAATAAAGCGTGATTTGGGAAGAATCCTCGTCTGGTGGCTGTTCTTTCCTGCTGGTCAGGGAGTTTGCCGCAGAGTGACAGTTATGTGGTTTGGGCAGTTTGTGGGGCCATTGGCCTTGGAACCAATATTTATCCCTAGTGCATGAACATACGTTTTGGAACCCATTACCTATGTTCAGCCTAGATACTGGGGGAAGGGACCTGGTTCTGCCTCAAGTGATATGATAGACTTTGTTGACCCCCATGAGAGGCCTCACCCTCTCTGAGGAATGGATGGGGTTGGGGTAGGGGGAGATGAGAAGAACTGAGGAAGGGGTCAGAGAGGCAGCTGGGATTGGAATGTAAAATTTAAAAAGATTGTTTTAAAAAATAAATAAAAAGAATCGATGGTCTCTAACTGCATGGATTTGCTTCGGGATCCTCCCATTTTATTCCATGGGTCTAGCATCTAATGTAATATCAGTGTCATGCACATTTGGTTACTAAGACTCTGGTGAGTTTTAAAATCAGGCTTTGCCATGTCTCTAACATTCTTGTTTCCACCCAACGCTACTTTGTCCATTCAGCGTCTCTTCTGTTTCTGTATGAATTTCAGAATTTCTCTCTGTAGATTCATGAATAATGTCATATGGATGTTTTGAGAGAGTATGCTGAATCTGTGCTGTTTTTTTCTGTATTGGGTGGCCATGAAAACAATATAAATCTTTTCTACCTGTCAGCATTGGAGGTCTTTGCAATTTCTGACATGTCCTTTCATTCCCTTCTGGAATGGTTTATGGTTTTCTCTATTAACTCCACAGCTGAGCTTGTTCCCAGGTTTCTCTCAGGGAATATGCTGATCTTTGTACGTCAGTCTGTGTCCGGAGAATTTAGAAAACTTCAGGAACTTTGGGTTGGTCTCCTTTCACTGTCGGTCCCCTTCCCACCAACAGCATCTTTCTGAGCATCCCTTGGGTGGTCTCCTGGTGTGCTGGGTCAGAGTTTTAGTGCTTTGTGCCCCTGGAGATGAACGCATATACAGGGAGAGAACAGCGCTCCCTAGGGTCTCATCCATGTGGACAGGACTCTGTTATTCAGCCTTCAGACCAGGTTGACTCCAGGGAGACTGACCCCCTATCTACAACACAAACCAAGAAAAATCCACAGAAACAGTTCACTGGACCTCATGAGCACTCTTGGAGGTCTCTAGACTCACAGTTTGGGGAGCCAACAAGGGACCTAAGTAGGCCCTCTGCATGTGGATGACACTTGTGTAATTCGGTCTGTTTGAGAGCCCCTGGCAGTAGGTCCAGAGTCTATCCCTGGTGCAGGAGGTGGCTTTTTGGAGTCCCTTCCCTATAGTGGGATGGATGCCTTGCCCAGCCTTGATGCAGGAGGGAGGGGCTTGGTCCTGCCTAAGCTTCATGTGTCAGGTTTGGTTGACTCCCCACGGGAGGTCTTACTGTTTAGGAGGATTGGATGGGAGTTGGTTGAGGGAGATGTGGAGGGCAGTGGGAAGAGGGGAGAGAGGGGAAACTGTGGCTGGGATGTAAAATGAATTTAAAAATCTAAAAGAAAAGAAGGAAAGAAAACAAAAAGCCTAAGAGGTATAAACACAACACAAACTCCAACTAAAGAGCTGAATGTCAGCAACAGTCTTTCTCTGAATCCATGGAGCTGACTGCACTGATGATGTCCCTTGTTACCTAACTGGCGGTCACAGTGACAGACAAGGTGGGTGGGCACACTCTAGTTTTAGTATTATAAATGACTATCAGTGATTCCATTCCTATACTGAATAAATTATTTTTTGATATGCCCTTTTGTGAACCAGACATTAATTTTTATATTATGATTTTATTTGTTTATACCAGGATTTTGGTTATAGAAACCGCAACACATTTTCCATGCCAACCTCTAATTTATTGTAATTAATATACACCTTCCATTTATGGAAATTGTATTAAAGCCCCTTATTAAAGTCACGTGTTACAATAAAAAAGACGAGTAGTCCAAATGGTGTGTTCACTGGGGTCAACCTTTCAATAGAAACAGAGGGAGATGCTACAGCAATAAGCATGTGCAATACACACATTTACAATGATGGGCAGATCGTTCAGGAAGAAAACTCATAAACAACAGTGGACTTGCTAACATATTGGGACAATGAGACTAAGAAGCTGTGTAAAACAAGATGTACAATCAACAGATAACAAAACAACTCCCATACCTAACACTCAGGGAGCATCAGGAGGAGGAGGCAGAAAGACTGTCAGAGTCAGAGGACCAGAAATTCCGCTGGTAAATTGCCTCTCTTAGAAACAACAAGAAAGTTACACCCATGATACCTCAACAACATGGCTGCTAAAATAAGGCCTGAACAATGATACTAGCAAAAGATGTGCTAACTTGGAAGGGAGGAACTTTCACGGGGCTCCACCCCAGAAAAAGAAATACAGGCAACTAATGACTGCTCAAAGAGAGAGACTCAGCCTTTCCCAGGGATGAACCCCTAAGTGCTTATCCAAAGAAAGTAGTCAGCCTCGAATTATATACACACTAGACACACACACACACACACACACACACACACACACACACACAGAGAGAGAGAGAGAGAGAGAGAGAGAGAGAGAGAGAGAGAGAGAGAGAGAGAGAGAGAATAATTCAAAAAGGGATTCACCAACATGAAAAGGAGTGGGAGAGGGCGGTTGCAAGGGAGGGCATACGATAGGATGTGAGGGATGAAAAAAGAGGGAAGTGATGTAATTATATTTTAATTTAAAAAATTTTAACTAAAAAAACTTAAGAAAGATCATGAACAGAGGAGTAGAAAATGATTGCCGGCCATTCATCTGAAGGAAGACAAATAATCAAACTTGTGACAGCTGATACTGGTTATCAACTTGTTTAGCTTGAGAAGACATCAGATGAGCAAAGCACACTTCTGGCTGTGTCGGCACAGGAGATGACTCTCCCTAAATGTGGTTGGGATCATCTGGTAGGCTGGTGCCCAGGTGGAGTAAATGGGAAGAAGAAAGGGCCAGCCTGCATAGGCATTCCCTGGGGTCTTGACCACCATAGTGCTTGCTGCTTAGCAGGGCTATGCCCTCCCCACATGATGGGCTGAGAAGGCCATACTCATCAAAATAAAAGCTCTTACTCCTAGTATCTTTATTTTATGTATTTGTCATGGTGACAGAATGTCTGGTTAAAAGCATTCATACCAGGCATAGGGCCGCTGATAGGACTATTGCATAAAGTCTACAAGGACTTGATGAATGAACCAAGTGATGAAGGGATACTTCAAAGAAATCCCACACTAGCTCAGAAATGAGAAATAGTTATTTGTTTAGAGGTAAACTCACAAATCAGGATTCTCTGCTTGAACGGTAGACATAGATCGAATCCAGCAATCCAACAATTCGAATGAGCAGCCAGCAAAGGGGGAGGGGGAGGGAAATGGGAGGCGGTGGCAGGGAAGAGTCAGAAATCTTTAATAAATAAATAAAAGTTTTTAAAAAAATTCAAAAAAAAAAGGAGGGAAAAGGGGTCTGAAGCAGGCTCTGCATCAGCATATATAGTATAAGAGGCCATGCCCCAGTAGGCAGGTAAGCACAAGCTGCAAGCCTTCTTAGAGCAAGGACTTTCAACAGTTGGAGATATGGAGAAGAAGCTGTTGTAAGCAGAACCAGAAGGCAAACAACAGTGTGGAGCCTTAGGCTTTATGTGGCAATGAGACTCTACTGGGAACTGAGCTGCCAGGCCTCTAGTAGAGGATGCTATGAATCTGGCCCAGGAAAAGTGTAAACTTATTTAAAGCACTACGAGATTTTTGGTGTTTTCTGTTTGTTTGTTAGGTTGGTTTCTGGTAACATGATAGGCCAGTTTTAGAGTGTGAACTCTGTAAATAATGCCATGTTTTAGTGTTAACTCATTGGAAATGTCTAGGAGAGGCTATTGGACAGCGGGCAGTAAGGAACTTGTCTACACTGTTCACAGCCTGTGACTTGTTTGTGACTGAGTTTAAAGGGGTTTTTAATAAGGTTGGTGGTGGAAACTTCCAACAGAAAGGTATTCTTGGTTATTGGTAGATGCTGGTAATGAGATCTGCAGTGAACTCAGCATCAAACAGCAATAAGAAATCATCCAGTTTGCTGGCAAAAATCCATTTGATGTTGGAGACAGGGAAATTGTGGTGGATGACCAGATTACGATTTTAAAAATAAGCCATACATTTTCATCTGGAAGGGAAAAATATCTCTAGGGTATCATAGGAATTATTATTATTATATATAACATATAATATTATATAATAATAGTTATTACTATATTATTATTATTATTATTTCCTACCTATTGCTCTTAAGAATATAAAAATTTATTTTGGGGAGAGAATTCTCCATGGTGTCCTAATACACAAGCCACAAGAGAGTTTCCCTGCATTCTGACCCCTAGGCCCTCAGGGGCTCCTACAGCTGCCTTTTCAGAGCCTGCCTGCTCCACCACTTGGGGACAGACTTTGCCATTATCCATGATGCTGCTTCTGCAGGCACACAGAATGCAAATTGTTGGTTTGTGGAAGCCTTGACATGCATTTAAAGGAAAAGCAGACACTGTGTGCCAAAATCTGAATAACCATCAGCAGTCTATATGAAGGCCAGAGATGACGCTATGAGCATGGAGCCAGAGATGGGACAGAGAACCTAGGAGATGGTCAGAAAGGAAAGGAATATTTCACCAAAACAGAGCACAGCTACAGACAGTAAGCAGGGATAGTTCAAACATGTTTAAAAAAGGCTATATGCATCACAACTGCCAGGCCCGTAGAGTAGATTCTGTCCTTCTGGTGCAATATGCCATGGGTGTAGGCTGAATATAAAGGGCCTGATGTTTGCCCTGCATCTTTCAGTCTTCTTTTATCCCCATTACTGCTTTATGCGACCCAAATCTACCATCTTGGAATGGCAGTATATATTTTATTACACTGTGTCTTTCAGGTGTGTTCATTATTCTTAACTTGTGTGTAAATTGTTTTATAAGTGCTCTCTTGGGTGGGATCATTTCTCTGTTCTGTCATTCCTGCCCTCTCTGGGATGCGTGGGTCTTTGTGTGGACCCTGGACAAAGTGGCACCAGAGAAATCTCATGTCTCCCACAGTGTACCTGTTTCCATAGACAGTAGGGGAGTCAATCATTTATCCACACCTTGCAGAAGTGACATCTTATGTTGTTGGATCTCTCTCCATACTTCTCTCTCTAAGGTCCATAGATTCATCTTGAGCCAAAGACTCTGTTTCGATTTCCAAGGAAATGGCTTTGTAATATTAAAATTTGAGAACATAAAATCAAATGTTTCTCCTTATTATATTTGTACAGTATGCTACACAACTCTATGTCTTTTTCCATTGTGTTTATATAGCATCCCACATGTGTCTATGTCCTCAAAAATAGGATGCTTTTATTTGGAAACAACTTCTGTGGAATATCCCTTTTTCTGCTCCAGGCTCTCAGATCTGGCTTGGGCCTCCTGATCAGAGCTCAACGTGCTTCCTCTGGGTTGACCTCTCTGCTGCCTCTTTGGCCCTGAGCTCAGTCCAAAAGGCCACTTCCTTGTCTTTCAGCCCATGAGCTGCCTGTGTTGGGACTCCAATCTGCAGGTACCCTTCCTTCTGGTCATATTGTGGCCAATGGGGCAGCCCTTCCCCATTGGGGTTCCTGTGAACAGAATAAAAAGAGAAAGTCACCAAATCAGCTACGCTGTCCCTATGGTTCTCAGAGATGTGCAAGAATGTGCTAGCTTATCTTTGCCAAGAAACCAGTAATCTTCCACAGATGGACAGATCTCTAGCTCCTGGGACAGTTCTCTCTCTCTCTCTCTCTCTCTCTCTCTCTCTCTCTCTCTCTCTCTCTCTCTCCCACCTCTCTCAAATCTTGTTATGATTTAAATTTTACATTTTCTGTAAATCCTCCTGTGTTACAGATTGATACTATCTGGGAGCTAGTGGAATAGAAGGTGGGGAATAGTTGGAAAAACCAGATCACGAAGTCTTTGAACAGTGCTGGGGTTCCATTCTTCACGTCACAGCTTCCTGATGGGCAAGCATTTAACTGGGGCCTTCATTATGTTGTTGCAGTAGCATGTCAGCAGGCACAGCACCAGCGTGGTAGCTGAAATGCTCCATCCTCACGCGCAGACAGAGAGACTGCATCTGACTTTTGAAACGTCAAGGATTTTGTTGGAAGAGTGACATACTTCTTCCAACAAGACCACACCTCCAAATCCTTCTAATCTAAGCACATGGTGACTGAGCATTCCACTATATGAGCTTATGGGGGTACATTTTTCTACCCATATATTAATATAGGTATTATTTTATTAATTTATACCCAGAACCCAAGAGATGACACAGAGTCTGCCGGCAGCAAGACCTTAGGAAGAGAATACATTTCCAAGCTTTTCAGAGCCCATGTCTGTCAACAGATTTCTGGATGTTTGAAACGGAGATTAAAGATTTAAAT